TCTTTTCTTCTATTCAAATCCACAGACTTTTCTTTATCTCCACTGTCATGATGCTAACCAAAAATATTAATATTGTTACCGGAAAGGAGTTCCAATCCAGGCCCAAGAGAGGGTTCTTGGACCTTTCACAAGAAAGAATTTGGGGCATGTCCATAAAGTGAAAATAAGTTTATTAAGAAAGTAGAGGAATGAAGAATGGCTACTCTGTAGGCAGAGCAGTGGCATGGGCTGCTGGACTGAGTCCATTCACAGTTATTTCTTGATTATATGCTAAACAATGGGTAGATTATTGATCAGTTTTCAAGGAAAAGGGTGGCCATTTCCTGAAACTGAGGGTTTCTCCTTTTTTAGACCATCTAGAATAACTTCCTGACATTGCCATGGCATTTGTAAACTGTCATGGCACTGGTGGGAGCATCTTTTAGCATGCTATTGCATTATAATTAGCAGTGAGAAACACCAGAGGTCATAATTAACATAACGGGAGGTGAGGATGACCAGAAGTCACTTTTATTGCCATCTTGGTTTGATGGTTTTGGCAGGCTTCTTTACCACATTCTTTTTGATCAGCAAGGTCTTTGGGACCTATGTTTTAAACTGACCTCCTATCATCTTGTGACCAAGAATGCCTAACCTCCTGGGAATGCAGGCCAAGTAGGTCTCAGCCTTATTTTACCCAGCCCCTATTCAAGATGGAGTCACTTTGGTTCACATGCCTCTGACACTCTCTTTTCTTGACTTCTGTAGTAGATTCTTAACTGGTCTCTTTGTCTACGCCATGACTTCCTCTGATGTATCTTCCACATTACAAATGGTGTGCTGTGTGTGTGTGCATGCATGTCTGCCTATATGTATGCATGTATGGAATGTGATTACCTCTATGCTTAAATTTTATTTTTATGATGGCAATGATACTTAACATGAGATATCTCCTATAAATAAATTTTTAAGCGTACCATACAGTATTGCTAACTTGCTGTTCATTGATTATAAAAAGCTTCAGTTGTGTAAGACCTATGAATTCTAAAAAATCTGCTATACAATGTGCCGAAATCTTAAATAGCAACTTGGGTCACTCTGTCTAACCTTCTGTGTTCCAGGCACACTAATCTTTTTTCCTTCCTGGAACATGCCTAATTCTCTTAGTTCTGCCTCAAGGGTCTTGCACATTTTCTCTTCTTTCTGAAAAACTCCTCTCTTTTCCTTTCTTTTATTCTCTTTACTCACACCATCTAAGTCAGCTCAGTCCAGGCATCAATTCCATGAGAACTTTCTCTGAGTCTCCATTCTAGATCCAGCCTCTACTCCAACACAAGTCTTTATAACTATTGGTTTCAGTAAAGTTTAGGTTTAGCTGTATCTAAGAAAAATATACAAATGAGTGTCTTATACAAAATAGGGTTTTATTTTTCCCTTGTATAAAGTCAGAATTAAGCCAATCAGGACAGCTATAGCAGCTCCATGACATCAAGAGCCCAGGCTTTTCTTTTATTCTGTTCTATCATCCAGAGGAAATTAATATACTTTACCCCAAATACATTTATTTTTTCATATTATTAAATGGCCACCCATTAGCCAGCAAACAGAAGTGGCCTTGCAAAGTTGTTTTTGTGTGAGGACAGTTAGGGGAAATTTGCATCTGTAGAGAATCTTCATTAATGCAGCTATGCCCCTCCCCTTCCTGTCCCCTTTCCAGATTCAGGAGAGATTGAGAGTCTGACAGCTATAAAAGTCTGAAAGGAAACACTTACCATCTGTTCTCTCTGAGGGAGGTTTCATCTACATAGCAGGACCACCTTTGCTAGCCAAGCTTCTTCCTTTCTTTCTCGCTTAACCTGTCTTACCACTAAACCTGATTAATCAACATAACCTGTTCCTGGCCATGCTCTGAGTCTACATTCTTTATCGTGGCCTCGGGATGGTATATAAATTTGTATAACTCATTGGAAAGTTCGTTCTTCATTCTGAAGACTCCCGTTATACATGTTAAATGCGTTTGTATATTTTTTCTCCTATTAATCAATTTGCCTCAAGTCTGATTTTTGGCAAACCTTTAGGGGCCAAGACCCTCCATAATCCTTAGCGACATCCTCAGAGACAATGATTTGTCACAAGATTGTCCTTGCAGCTCTAGCCTTCCTCTCTAGTCCAGGCAACAGGGAGGAGAAGAGGTAAGGTCAGAAGATAAATTTTGAACTTCCAGCAAAATCATCCCCCTGTAAAGAATTTTTCCAAAAACCTTACCCAATAACCAACAGCTTCTGCTAACTACTACTACTTTTTTTTTTTTTTTTTTTTTTTTTTTAATAAAGTCTTGCTCTGTCACCCAGGCTGGTGTGATCTTGGCCTACTGCAACCTCTGTCTTCTGGGTTCAAGTGATTCTCCTGCCTCAGCCTTTTGATTAGCTTGGAATATAGGTGCATGCCACAACACGTGGCTAATTTTTGCATTTTTAGTGGAGACAGGGTTTCACTATGTTGACCAGGCTAGTTTCAAACTCGAGACCTCAAGTGATCTGCCTGCCTTGGCCTCCCAAAGTGCTGAGATTACAGGCATGAGCCACCATGCCCAGCCTAATTTCTGCTAACCTCTTTCAGCCATCTGGCTCTTTGAGAGAGTCTTTTATCCATGCCTCTTTGCAAATATGTATGTGTGTATATGTGTGTGTGTGTGTGTGTGTGTGTGTGTGTATGCACAAATAATTCCTTCTCAAAGTTAGTTCAGCCTACGCCCAGGAATGAACAATGACAATTTAAAGGTTAGAAGGAAGGTTAGGAGTCAGTTAGGTATGATTTCTTTCACTGTCCTTATTTCCTCAGTTATAATCTTGCAAAGATGGTTTCAATTATATTAATTCATTTCAACTAATCAAGATTTATTTCTGACATGAAGATAGAATCCCCTTGGATGAAGGGTAAATTCTTGAACAAATCTCTTACTCTGTTTATAAGGCAAAAATGAGTAAGACATGAATATTACTTTAAAAAGCCATAGAACATAATATAATTCAGTTTACTATTTGCTTCATTTCTTTCACTACTTTTCTTCCATTCGAATCTATAGACTTTTCTTTATCTTCACTATCACGATGCTAGTCAAAAAATACTAATATGGTTACTAGAAAAAAAGCTATATACATATAGCTTTTCTGCTGAGTATACTGCAGATAATGTAAGGACCTGTTACGAGGAAGAAATGGAAGACAGAGAGAGAATAGGCAACTAGCAAGCTTTCCCACATAAGTCTCACTATTCATAGTTATGTATTTGTGTGATAATGTCTGTTTTCCCTTTCACAGTATAGCCCATGGAGGGGGCCTCTATCCTAGCACCTAACTCATAGGAGAGAATAAATATTTGTTGAATGAATGAATGAATCTGCCTACTACATAATACCTTCTTCAATATCAGCTCTCACTTGTTCTTGCAATTTGAGTCATATAAAGCCACTTGTTGGATGGTTTTGAAAACTGGACAACAGGGACCACATGAGATTTAGCCAATACAGACATAAACATGTCTTCCTTTTAATAAAAGACTCTGACCAAAAATTCATGTAAAGACATTTTATATTCAACTGAAATATATGCAAATGTTCCATACTCTAGAAAGTACCTGACCCACCCTGAACTGCTTTGGCATTCCAAGTCCGTCTTACATTAATATTCATATTGTGTTTCAAGAGAGGCATTTTGCTAAGTTTAGAACCTTTAATAACTCATGAGCAAAAAAAAAAATTTAATCAAGCCCTAAACTTTGTGGACCCAGTTCATTTACCCTTGGCAGAATGTAGCTTCCAACAGAACAGCTTATATAGCTGATTATAAAAGCTGTAAGAGTTCCCAGGACAGACAGTGAGTCCAAGAAAGAAAACATCTCAGTAGTGATCTGATGATTGAACTGCTGAAGAGTGAGATGTGTAATAACAAACGTTCCTTCCTCCAAACGCAATTTTAAAAGCCAGATGGAAAAATAACATAAGACAAGCATATTCTTCAGTTTAACAGATTTCAGTTCCAGTTGAGAATTTGGGTGAGGAAAGGTGTAAAACACTAGTCAAGGATCTCTTCAAAAATACAGAATTATAATGCCATATGTATAGCATTCTGCTAGGGACTAGGCAGCTCATGCACCCACAATGTTGATATTATTCTGACTCAAAATTATTTCTTTGCTTTAATTTATAAAATTAATGTACTAAGTAAAGAGAGTCTGGATGTCACCACCCAACTACTCATGAATAGAGGGGTTGACAAAGGAAATAATATAATTTTTGCTAATGGATAACTGGTGAATTGGCAGGGTCACTTTTATGTTCCTCATCTTAAACTACTTGCATCATCTTAGGTAATGAAAAGAGAACCACCACCAGAGACAGTCTGAACTATGAATTTAAAAAGAAGAAACAAAATAAAATAAACAAGATAAATGCCCTGCCCCCACAAAGAAACTCACATTCAGCAAGTCCAGTACATTCTGTGCTCTAGATTTCAGGCATCATGGGGCTGCAGTGGTAGATAAAACAAATGTGGTTCCTATGCTCAGGACTTCATATCTTCAGAGGAAGAAAGCCCAGAACCACCTGATTTGCAGCTGACATGTTTCATTCATTAGCAGAGTATATTTAAAACAAGAAAATGATTATGATAATCATAATAATGAAACAAGTTCTAATCAGTTTCTTTTTTTTGCATATTACCAACTTTTATTGATGAATATCGCAAACTTCAATCCTTTTAAAAATATTATTCTGCATGCATTTGACAAATCTGACAAAAGAACAAGTATCCAGTTTACTTGCATTGTAACTATGACATAACTGAACAGTCAATTAACATATATTTAAAACCATTAGGTACAGGTAACAATAAAAATCTTAAATGTATTAATCTGATGGCATCCTACCACTATGAACATGGTCATGTAACACTACTAGTAATTACCCTGAAGCACAGGCAAATGTAGATGGAGGACTCTCCCTAAGAAGCAAGTTTAAGGGATTAAATATCATTATCACTACTGAGAATAAAGCTGCTGCCAGTGGATAGGCGCCCTTCTTCAACACTCCCGAAACCACCCAAAGTCCCCCTCTCATCAGAATCATCAAACAACTTCTCATTGGAATCTTCCTCATCAAACAACTTCTCATTGGAATCATCATCTTCGAACAACTTTACATCAGCATCTTCATCTTCCTTTCCATCTGCATCTTCATCTTCCTTGTCTGACTCTTCAAACAGCTTTTCATCCACATCACCTTCTTCCTCCTTTTTATCAGCAGCTTCAAGCCCCTTTTCATCTGCATGTTCTTCATCCTCTTTCTCATTGGACTCATCATCAAATACTTTTTCATATGTATCCTCCTCTTCTTCCTTTTCATTGGACTCTTCATCAAACTCTCTCTCAGAGCCTTCCTCATCTAACACTTTTTCAGAGCCATCGTCTTCAAATTCGGAGTTTTCAGAGTCATTTTCTTCTAACTCTTTATCAAGAACATTTGCAGGAAGCTCCTTTGCAGAGCCATCCTCATCCAAATCTTTCTTGAGACCACTTTCTTCAAATTCTCTTTCAGAGCCATCTTCAGACTGTTTTTCAGAGCAGTCTTCATCAGACTCTCTCTGAGTCATCTTCTTCAGACTCATTTTTGGGTCCAGTCTCCTCTTCAGACTCCTTGTTGGGGTCACCTTCAGTTTCTTGTCCAAGGCCATTCTCTTCCCAATCATTTTTGAGTGTCTTCTTTTTTGACTCTTTTTTAGGAATACCCTCTTCAGATCCTCTTATGGGACTGCCTTCTTCAGGCTCTTTTTGGGGGCAGCCGCCTTCAGATTCTTTCTCAGGGCAGCCTGGGCAGCCTTCTTCCGCCCCATTTTTGGGGCCACCTTCTTTAGCACTGTTTTCAGAAGCATCTTCTTCAAATTCTCCCCTGTCTTCTGTCTTTGCAAACTTCTTCTCATCTATAGGTTCTTCAAACGCCATTCTAATTGCAGCTTCTTGCACATTCATTTTAGATGTGCTGGGGTGCTCTGAAAAATGCCATGCTCCAGAAGGCCCTGCCCTCGCCGAAGCAGAGGCAGAATCTAAGCATCTAAGGCCTCTGTTGGACTCAGAAGCATTGAGGAAAGCCTCCCACCCTCTCAGCCTTTCCTCCCTTTCTCTTGAGGTTTCCTCCACCTGATAATCAGTAGTCCCATCCCATGCCTGGGCAGTGATTTGACGGCCACCAAACCATCTTCCATCTAGAGTTTGAATACAATAATCGGCTTCCTCTGGATCCTGAAAGGACACAGAGGCCACACCATCTGGGTGTCTATCAAAGAGAAGGAGCTTCCTAATTTGTCCAAACTTTGAACACTCTACTCGAAGGTCTTCTCTGATCTCATTCAGCACCAACGGATCATCCTCAAAATCCATAGGATGAAACATATTCTTGATGATGACAACTCGCTCATGGCGCATCCAGGATGGTCCCGCTCTCCTCTCAGGTCTCCAATCTAGCTGCTTTTGCTGCATAGACAGCTTCTTCTTATAGTCTTTGCACTTCTTCTTCTTCTTTGAGGCATCATATTCTCCCTTCAGTTGAAACTTTGCCACCTCAACATGTAATTTGTGGCCTCTAATTTCATCTTCATCCAAAAGTTTTAATGCAAGTTCCACAGATTCTCTCTTCAAATAACAGCAAAGACCGTCTCCTTTAAGATTTCCTTGATTATCTTTGTAAAGTTTGATCTTAAATTCCTCTGTCTGAGGATCTCTCATAATAATGCCAAACTTAGACATAAGTTTTATAAATTCATCCAGTGTAATATCTGGAGGCAAACCAGACACGTATACATTTGTATTTCTGTATTCTTCAACATGAAACCATCCTGACTCAGCCTTTCTTTTTTCTCCCTTCTTTCCGGAATCAGTGGGTTCTGGTGCTTTTTCTTGTGTAGGTTCCTCTGCAGTCCTAGCATGGACATCTTGAACATTTGCGGTAGAACTAGATACGCCATCATTAGAGAAGCCATAATTGGCCTGATACGTAGCAATGAAATCTTCAGTAATCTTGGGGAACCAAGCCTTCTTGTCCAGGTCCCACTCGTAGGGGGTGTCCGTCGGCTGCTGCCCGAGAGAATCGGTTTTTCCACCGGCATCGCAGTCTCCATACAATTCTTGCATTCGCAACTGCTCATCAAACTCATGGTTCCCATCCAAGGGGTTACGATTCATGTTTCCTACCTGATTCGCTCGGCCTGGCTTCTGCCTCGCTGAGGGGTCCAGGGGCGGTGAGAGTGCGCAGGCGCACCGCTGCCGCCGCCGCCTACCGGGTCTGAGACGAGTGCAGCTCCCTCCTCAACGTCAGGAAATTACGTGCAAAGGAAGCGCCGCTCAGGCCTGCGCAGCCGCAGTAGTCGCCCTCACCTCGCTACATCGCTCTAATCAGTTTCTGACGGAAACTGCTTCCCTGTCGCCCTGCAAGAGTGGACTTGAAAACTAAACACGTCATTCATTAAAGAGCTTACACCTTAATGGCATAAGTAAATGTAAGGACCCAAATTCTTGTCCTTGTTGGGCTGTGTCAGAGAGTTTACTGATTACAATTCTTAACACCATTTTGGAGTACAAAGACTTCGTTTATGCATCTTCTTCAAGATAAGCTGTTAATGCTGGGAACACGTACCTGCAAACCTCACAGAGCTGCTGAGGACAGGGCATTCTTTTTTTCCACATAGGAATTTCTAACATTGTCTAACTTTATTTTCTGTTGACAGAAGCTGCTATATTTCATCACTTTATTAAAGTCATAAAAAAGGACAATTCTGTATACTCCATGGGTTCTTTATTCAGTCATTTTCAGACCCCAGGTTGTTCCATAAAAAGGACTAGACAAATTGTGCTTATCTCGCAGATGCCATATTTTCAGAGGAGGTTGTGCAGGCCCACCCCATAGGCCAAAATAAGCCAACACACGCGTTACTCACACAAAGACCACAACAGAAGACTCGAATGCTGTTGCTTTTTAATTTTGAGATAAACCAATGAGCAGCAAGATATATCTCATGTTTAACAACCCAGTGCTATGATATAGGTCACCTAGGCTCATGTTTAAAACTCCACTAGTATTAAGAGAAATAATAAATTCTTGTCAGGAAGATTAAGTTAGCATAATTTCTCCCTTCGTGTGGAAACAAGAATAGAAAGAAGCTAAATATAATACTTCAAAACATAAAATTCAAAATTTCATTATATAACGAAACTAGAAGAATGTAAGGAAATTTTTGGCTTATTCCAGTTTTCACAGCCCACCACATAGAACAGAAATTACAATTTGAATAGAAAGGAGTATCTCTCTCAGTTTTCAAGGACATACTTCATGTCAATTGCAAAAGTACTGCCTGCAGAAATTTTAAATACCACTTTTAGTAATAGGGTTGGCTGAGAGCATGAAAGGCCCTTTCTGTGATGAGAATCTGTTGGTCTAACACAATTAGCTGATATATTTTCTCCCTGTTTCTGCAGCTGAATGTGGCCCATCCCATCAATAAATATTTTGATCTACTGTTTTCACATTTTCTGAAAAGATCTATTAGACTAGCATACTTTAAAAATCAAGGTCTGTTATTACTTGTCTTGTGTTTACTAGACAGTCATCTCCAACAGACTTTTTTTTTTTCTGAATCATCAGAAAAACAGATTTTGAGGCTTGTAGACTCACTATAATGACATAATTTCAGAATCATCATTACAGAATGAAGAATGTCCAGTTCTCCAGAGATAATAAGGAGGCTAATTTGCCATGAATTCAGGAAAATGTACTTGGTATGGCCATTGCAATTTAAAATTACAAGCACTTTTAATTTATAGTGATATCACTGGAAAATATATATCAAGCTAAAAAATCCTGATATATGTTTAAAATTAGAAAAAGGGCTGGGAGCAGGGGTGCATGCCTGTAGTGCCAGGACTTTGGGAGGCTGATTCAGGAGGATCACTTGAGCCCAGGAGTTAAAGACAAGGCTGGGCAATAAAGTGAAACCCTTGTCTCTACAAAAAATTTAAAAAAATCCTGGGGCACAGTGGTACACACCTGCAGTTCTAGCTACTGGGGAGGCTAAGGCAGAAGAATCGCTTGAGCTGGGGAGATTGAAGCTACAGTGAGCCATGATCCTACCACTGCATTCTGGTCTGAGTGACAGAGTAAGACCCTGTCTCAGAAAAGAAAAGAAAAAGCTTGCATCTCACCTCCTTTTATCACAGTCTTTTTATTTTTTGGTGCTAATAGCTAGAAAGAACAGTTTGTTCAGAGTAACTTGGGTGGAGCTTAATTATCAAATTTGCAAAACATACAAACACAATTTTTTCTTCCTGACAAATTTTAGCCATTAGAATGTCTGACTGGTAAAATTAATAACCATGATTTACATAATTCATGGAGCATTTAAGTATCTCTTTAGGGAAAGCTAAATCATGGGCGTAAAATCCAGGTTAAGTGATGATACTGTGCTGTAAATGAATTCACAGTTTGACAGGGAAAAGTAAACATTATCAAGGAAAACAACATTTTTAAAGCTTACCTGTGTTGAAGGGATTCAATACAAGTGAAGTAATGAAGACTAGGACTAGAGATTGTGAACCCAGGAATCTGAGCCAGGTCTCAATCAATTTAGAGAGTGTATCTTGCCAACATTAGGGATGCACTCATGACACAGCCTCAGGAGGTCTTGATGTGTGTCCATGGTGCTCTGGGCACAGCTTGTTTTTACACATTGTGGGGAGACATGAGACATCACTCAATATATGTAAGATGTGTAAGATGTACATTGTTTGATCCGAAAAGGTGGGACAACTTGAAGCGGGGAGGGGGCTTCCAGGTCAAAGGTAAGTAAGAGAAAAACTCAATACTTTTGAGTTTCTGATTAGCCTTTCACAGAATATACAATTTATAGGAATAGTCACTGATACCTTAGTCCGGCTTGGTGAAACTGTAGGGCAAAGGAGGCAGTCAGGTATGCATTTGTCTCACGTTGAGCAGAGGGATGACTTTGAGCTGTCTGTCCTTTATCCACAGGGAATTTTCTCGTGGGCAAATTGTGAGAGAGGTATGCAGCTTTTAAAATCTTTGTATCTATCTTATTTAGGAAAAGAATAGGAGGTAGATTTGCCGAATGTACTTCCCAGCTTGATTTTCCCTTCGGCTTAGTAATTTTGGGGTGCTGAGATGTATTTCCCTTTCACAAGATGGTAGGAAGGAACAGCTTGTAGTCAGGAAAGGTGGACAGATGTGTCGCTCAGACTTACTGGAGAAGATAACTAGATATTTTTTAATAAAATTTTTATTTAAATAATTGTAGATTCACATGCTCTTGCAAAAAAATATTTCTTGTACACTTTTCCACTTTTTCTTAATGATAATTCTTTACAAAAAGCTATAGTATAATACTACCATGATAATATCAACGTTAAAAAATCACTGATTTTATTCAGATTTCCTCAATTTTCTCTGTACTTGTGTGTAGATTAAGTTCTATACAGCTTTGTCAGACATACAGGTTCATGTATCTGTTACCAGTGTAAAGATACCAAATAGTTCCCATGCCACAAAATCCCTTCTCTTGCCCTTTAATTATCACACACACCCACTCTCTGTCCCCATCCATAAACCCTGTCAATCACTGATCTGTCCTCTCTAAAATGTTGTCATTTCAGAATTTATATAACAGGAATCATATACGATTTAACCTTTTGAGATTGAGGTGTTTTTATTTTTATTCTATATAATTCCTTAGAGATTCATTCATGTTGGGTGACACTACTGTGTGTGTATCAGTAGGTCATTCCTTTTAATTACTAAGTGGGTGTTGATAGCATGAATATATCACAGTTATTTCACCTGTTGAAGGACATTTTGGGTGATTTCAAATGTTGCATATTACAAATAAAGCTATCGGGAACATTCTTATACAGATTTTGTGTGAATGTAGTTTTCATTTTGGGGGATAAATGCTAGAGAATGTAATTGCTGGGTCATATGGGTAATTGTGTGTTTAGTTTCTTTCTATAAGCAAAGTAGACTTTTAGTTTAAGAGCACTGTGTTTCTTATGTTTAGGTATTATGTAAATGACTAAAGAAAACTCCCTGGGGCTGGGTACTGTGGCTCATACCCATAATACCAGTGATTTGGGAGGCCAAGGTGGGAAGATCTCTTGAACCTAGGAGTTCAAAACTACTCTGGGCAAGATAGTGAGACCTTGTTCCTACCAAAATAATAATAATAACAATAATAATTTAAAAAAAGAAAAAGAAAATATCGTGGTGCTCTCATTAATGAAAATCACAAACATTTTTGGGAATTTAATGGAAGTTACAGATGATCTCATCAGCAAAAACTTCACCATAATTATTTAGTTTCACTAAATCTGTGTTGCACACTATTTTAAGAGCTCTCTCTAAATTAGCTCATTAGATTCTTAACACAACATGAAGACACAGGAACCCAAGGCACAGGGACATTAAGCACGTAAGGTAACAGCTAGTATACTGGAGAGCCAAGATTCAAACCAGAGCACTGTGATTTCAGAGTCCAAACAAACATCCCAAACGGCATATTGCAACCCATTTCAAGTACATCCCTACACCTCAGTGGACTTTATTGAGATATATTTCATAAACCATAAAATGTACCCATTAAAAATATACAATTCAGTGTTTTGGAACATACTGAGTCATACAGCATTGTTACAGTATAATTTTAGTACACTTTCAACACTCCAGCAACAACCCTCCGAAAGGAAACCTGTGCACGTTAGCAGTCAGTCCCCATTCCCATTCCCATTCCCCACTCCCCCAGCTCTAGCCTCGGGCAACTGCTAGTCTGCTTTGTGCCTCTACTTTCCCTAGTCTGGACATTTCACATAAAGGGAACCATAGAATACAACATGTGGTCCTTTGTGACTGGCTTCTTTCACTTAACGTGATGTTTTCAAGGTTCATTCATGCTGTCAAATGCGTTGGTACTTTTTTTTTTAATTGCTAAATACTATTTGATGTAGGATTATACCACATTTCACTCATCTGTTCATTAACGACCATTGTGGTTTTTATTCTTTGCTATTATAAATAATGCTACTTTGAAGATGTACTTTTGAGTTATTACCTAGATATATGTTTTCATTTACTGTGGGTATATTCTCAGGAGTAGAATTGCTAGGTCATAAGGGAACACTCTGTTTAA